GTGTTCTACAGAGGCAGTGGGGCAAGGAGTCAGGCACAAGATGTGCCACACATATTTAGTAAATGAACAAGGTGGGTGGGTTGGCTTTCATTTCTCATTGTATAGCCTTGTTTTACATTTTTGAGAACAGTATGCATTCATTACATTTGCAAAACAAAACACAATGCCTTTTCTTCTTAAAAAGGGAAGGGAAGGGGGATGGGGAGGCAGCAGTTCGATACCTGCCAAGGATTTCTCCCTCAGTAAATCGTCTAAGGTTAAACAAGTCTCCAAACTCATGGCCATCCAGTGATTCCAACCCAGGTGACCCTATAGGGCAGGATGGAACTGCCCCTGGGGGTTCTGAGTCTGTCACTCTTTACAAGAGTAGAAAGTCCCCTTGCTTCCCCAGAGCAGCTGGTGGGCCCAACGTGTAGCCACTACTCTGGGGCCCCCCAGACAGCTCTCCAATGGAAAGCAAGTCTAGTACTGATTGGGCAGGCCAGGGCCAGAGAGGGGTGGGGCCTTACCTGAGTCCACACAGCATCTGCAAGCCAGGACTGAACCATTTACTCCCAAATCAGCAGACGCCTCCCAGAAATGTTCCGACTGCCAGGAGGCAGAGCAGCCGTGAGTAGGCAGTGGGCAGCAGAGGGTCTCGGGGGGAGGACGAGTGACAAAGGGTGAAGATCTCGGAGGGGAAAGGCTGTGAGACTGGATGTGAGGTGAAGGGGCTAGGGGTGAGGGAACAAAGGTTCTAAGGGACTGGGCTTCACGAAGCGGACGTGAGCGGGTGACACTGGGGGTGCGCTGGGTGAAAGGACTGAGGATGAAGCCCACACGTTTTTCACTGCCATGCAGGTGATTCTCGTAGCGCCCCCACGGGCAGGGTAGGTCTGCCCCGGGGGTTTCCCAGACACACTCTGCAGGGGACAGACAGCCTCGTCTCTCTCCAGTCGGAGCTGCTGCTGGTTTCAAACTGTTGACCCTTGCGGCCGGGAGCTCATTCCGAGGGGACACGGTGGGGGAGACCTAAACGGTGGGAGTCGAGGGGGGGGTGCAGTGGAAGGGGCAGGTCGGA